CCCACGCAACCCTGAAAAGGAAGAAGCATGTACAGAAAATGGATGGATGGATGAAGGTCTGGAAAGAAATGATGGTATCCCTTAATCTTTTGTTGCACAACCTTTTGACGCGATCACTGCAATCAAATGATTCCTGTAACTGTCAATGAGACTTACACCTCTCACTAGGTATTTTGTTCCACTCTTCATGAGCAAACTGCTCCTGTTGTCTCAGGTTTGAAGGTGTCTTTTCCAGACGACATGTTTCAACTCCTTCCAAAGATGCCCAATAGGATTTAGGTCCCACTTCAAAATAGTGCAATGTTTTCCTCTGAGCCATTCTTGGCGTTTTTACAGTAGCTGTTTTGGCTCATTATCCTGTTGAAGACCCATGAACTACTGAGACCAAGCTTTCTGACACTGGGCAGCACATTTCTCTCTAGAATCCCTTGATAGTCTTGAGATTTCATTGTACCCTGCAATGATTCAAGACCTCCTGTGCCAGATGCAGCAAAGCAGCTCCATAACATACCATGTTTCACGGCAGGGACAGTGCTATTTTCTTCAAATGCTTCATGTTTCCCTCTGTGAACATAGAGCTGATGTGCCTTGCTAAAAGGTTCCATTTTTGACTCATCTGTACATAGGACATTGTCCCAAAAGCTTTGTGGCTTGTCAACATTGGTGTCCTCCTTGGTCATCTCCCATTAAATCTACTTTTTAAAAATTACTAATGATCTTCTCCTTGCTGCTGACTCAAGACTTCTGTCAAAACTCATCCTCCTTGATCTGAGCTCTGCCTTTGACACCATCTCTCATCCTATCTTCATCGACCGACTAACCTCTGTCGGCATCTCAGACACCCCCCTGGACTGGTTTAAATCCTATCTTTCCGACTGCACTCAGTTCATAGAGCTCAAGTCCTTCCGTTCCCAGTCTTCACCCATTTCCACTGGTGTTCCCCAAGGTTCTGTACTCAGGCCTCTRCTTTTCATAATCTATCTGCTCCCGCTTGGCCACATCTTCCGTAAATTTSGTGTTCATTTCCACTCTTATGCCAACGACACTCAGCTCTACATTTCGACAAAACCGAGCTCCACCTTATCATCCTCAACTCTTACCGACTGCCTCAGTGAGCTCAACAACTAATTTCCTCCAACTAAACCATAACAAAACTGAACTGCTGTGGTTGGCCCACTGGCTGGGGTGGCTGCCGGAGTCTGGGGGGTGGTCGGTTGGGGGTGGGCACCTGTCCGTTGGTAGGGTGTGTAGCGAATTACTTAATGAAGCTTAGGAC